TGATGTTGAATGCTTGAATTGATATGAATGTTTATGTTGGATGTTGTCCTTGTTCCATGAATAAGGTGGGTGAACAACCACTAAGAAGGCATAAATTGGTAGTTACCTTGTCTATTGCCATCCAAGTTTTTGATGAAATGTCGTAGAGGAAATTCTTAAGGCTAGATAGAAGGAATGAAGGTTGTCCTTCACTTAGCTTAAATTTAGCTAAGTATGAAAAACGAGGACAAAGAAGTAAAAGGTTAATTGTGAGGTTTAAAGATTAAGAGGAATGGGAATGACAATGTTTATATGAAAAAAATTGATGGATTATGATGCTTGTTTGCTTGGTTTGAGATGATATTCATTATTTTTATGGAATGTGCAAGGTGTGTTTCATTTTGCATGCATACTTAATTATTTGGAATATGTGAATGATTTATAATGTTTATACATGTTCTTGAGTATCTAATGGTATGCATGTTAAGGTCATGTTCATTGTAATGCATTTCATTCAAATGCATATGCTCATGCACATCATTATTATGAAAGAGGATTTTATATTCATGATTTTAATGAAAAGAAAAGGAAAAAGGTTTTTATGAAAGGAAAAAGAAATAAGGTTAGTAAGTATGGGAAATCAAGGATAACTTAGCTTGATTTTTGGGTGTATACATAGCAAGTTAGACATTTTTGGTATGTATATAAGTTAATTAAAAAATATTATTTTGGTGTAAATGAAAATGTTAATAGAAGGTTAAGTTGTTATTATGTCAATTTTGTTAGTTGTAGCTTAAGGGTGCTTAGATGACTAATATGACTATGATGGTATGATTGATAAGATTATGAAAATGATTGCAAATCAAAATGACAAGTAAGGAATTAAGTAAGAATGTTAAGGGCAAGACTAAAAAAATAAAATAGCTAAATTATTAGAGGAAGTTTAAATGAAGCTAGCAAAGGCTTAAAAGAAACTAATATAGGTTTAATCGAACTTAAGGTTAAAGAGGAAAAACTTATACCCAAATTAGGTTTAAGAAGACCTAGTACCCCACACTCCGTAGGGACCTAATGTAGTAAATGGCCACTTCGCTAATGTACTAGTAAGGACAGGGAGGAGGCTTCTTGGCTTGCATTTATTACACATCGAATGTAGGTCAATGTTGATGATACTCTCAACCTATGTAAGTCCTAGGACGAGGGCATTACAAAATATGCATGATAATGATTTGAAAGATTGATCATTTAGGATTTATGATTTCCATGGTTTTTTTAGTTTTTAAATTTTCAAAAACAAAAATAGAAAATTATTGTTTGTGCCTATATATGTAGCTCATGTACTTTTGAATTATTTTGATTAAGCATATTATACATCGAATGTAGGTCAATGTCGGTAATACTCTCAACCTATGTAAATCCTAGGACGAGGGCATTACAAAATATCTATGATAATGATTTGAAAGATTGATCATTTAGGATTTATGGTTTCAATGGTTGTTTTAGTTTTTAAATTTTTGAAAACGGAACTAGAAAATTATTGTTTGTGCCTATATATGTAGTTCATGTACTTTTGAATTATTTTGATTAAGCATATCCGTATTCTCTTTCATATTGTTGATTGAGTCCTTCTATTTTTCATTTTGTTTTATTTCTGGTTATCTATTATAAGTTCATTAGTTCATGAGTTGACGTAACATTTCTAGTACTTTTAAATATATGACAAGTGTCATAAGTGGAATCTAATAGAAAATCTTAAGCAAAACAATTCAAAGAATGCAAAAACTCAATCAAGACAATTCAAATAGAAACTAAATTAATTTTTTTAAAAAAACAAAATTCCTCGTGTTATTATTTTTTAAAGACCAATATTGAATGTTGTGAAACGTGTTATATGTAGGGTCTTATCACAATAAAATTATGAAAAATATTTATTTTTAAATTATTATACAATATAATAATTTTGCATAATAATTTAAAAATAATAAAATACATACAAAACATGCAATTAAAAAATATATAGAGAGGGAGTATAAATATATTTGTCAAAAATAAAAATAAAAATATTGACTTGTAGCAAATTATCTATACCAAATAAAGTAATTTGGCACAAGTCTCTAGTTTTTTGAGGGAGCAACTCCATTTTTTTACTTTGAATTTTAAATTTGTCAAATATTCAAAATTTCTTACTTTTGTATAGAATTGGACCCATTAACTAAAAGTCTGTAGGCACATCACCATATATTTTTTTTTGATAATTATAGTTTACGTTCTTTTTTATTATTTTTTAATTTATTATAATTTAAAAAAAAAACTTTATGTGTTATTTGATTGGGTCTCACATATGACATATTTTATGTATTTAAGATGAGGTTTTAAAAGAACAATAAACTGAAAATTAAAAACATAATAATTTAGTCTTTATACTATTTGAATTGAGCTAATTGAGTCTTTATATTTTTTGAATTATTTTGATTGACTTTCTTTATTAGGATTTTATGTATTATCATATTATGCATTCAAAGTGGACGTCTCACGTCATCTCACGAACAACAACATTACAATAAAAAGATGAAAAAAATAAATAAATAAAAGGTAGAAAAACTCAATCAATCCGGAACAAAATACAGGGATCATATTTGGGCAAAGCTCAAAAATCATTCTCCACAACTTTTGAAAGTCACTGCATTGCATTTGGCCTTTAATTTAAAATTTTCGTGAATTATATCGCTACTTTATACTTTATATATAGAGAGAGAGAAAACAAAAGGGCAAAGCCATCGTTTTGCCCCTCATGTTTATAGTAAATTATCACCTTACCTCTCGTCTTTCAAGTTTGGTCGATTGATGTTGAAATTGAAAAGGGTTTATCAGTTTGCCACATCAGCTACTCCCATTAACTATGCTGCCATAAAGGAACCAAATTGCATTTCTTAGACATAGCAGGATTGAAATGAACTTTTCTAAAAAATTCCAATTGCCATAACAACTTGCATCATGACAATATCCGGCCACCATTGGGATTATTTAGGCTATGTTTGTTTGGAGGAAAACAAGTTTTATAGGAAAATCAATTCCCGAGGAAGCTATTCTTCTGAAAATTGTTTTCCAAGAAAATATTTTCTGTCGTTTAACAATTATATGAAAAAGCTACTGAAAAATATATTTCAACGTTTGTTTAATACAGAAAATTAAAATACAAAAACTTATGTGATTGTTATATCAACAAGTTTTGAGAAAATTTCACAAAGACATATTCATAATTTCATAATATAAGATACATTTAGAAAAATTTAATAAATTTTCATCAATACTAACTCTAAAATTTTAATTCAAAAAATAAAATATACTTTTTTAACAATCAAACCAAATCATCAAAATTACTTAGGACAAAATTAAGTCAATATTTATATCTAGTAAAAAAAGATTCTAAGTAATCTTAGCATTATTATTTTAGTAACTCAATTAAGAATTTTTTTAAAAAAAGAAATTGAACTAATAATTTATTTTAAAAAATAATTTTATAAATTATTTGTTATCATCTATAGATAATTATTTATTTGATCTCAAAAGATTAATGTTGAAATAATTTGTAACTAATTATTCAGTACAATTACCAACAAAATTTTACAATTGATTAAAATTACAAATTATTGATTTAATTGCAAATGAATAGTGTTGAAAAAATAATATATTTATTGATGAATTAATTAATTTTAATTTCTTTTTACAAAAAATTATAGTCTTGTAATAATCATTTTCAATCATTTAACTATAGCTTAGATAGTGATTGAGACAATAGTAAAAAAAAAAGATAAGTTATTGAAATATTTATTATAAAAATAATTTTAAGGTGTAAAAATGGTTTTTAAGATTATTTAATGTATCTATAAATCAAAAAAAATCAAATATTAGTAAATATAGAGAAAAAATAATTAAATAATTAATAATATTTGATAAAAAATAATTAAAAATTAATATGATATATTTTAAACAAAAAGAAGATAGAGAAAAAATTGTTAAAATATATCGAGGGAGAGTTATGTAACAAGAGAGCGAGATAGCTCGTGAGAAGGAAAATGTTTTCCCGAGTTTCAAAAGAGGAAAACAAATATATGAAGATGGAATTTTTTCAAAAAAGTTCGGTTAAGTGCTTAGATTTCAAAAGACTAAGGAAGTGTTTGATAACCTAATTAAGTAGCTTAAAAAATTAGTTATAGTACTTAATATAATAAGTTTGTTTGATAATCTAAATAATCTCATATTAAAAGTTTAAATTCGAGTTAAAATCTACCTAATCGTGTAAGTTAAAATTTTTAACTTATTACTTTTTGATTAACACGCTCAGTTGAAAGATTTTTAAAACTTTTTAAATATGACTATATAGCCCTCATATATTTTTATAACTTTAGTTACACAAACCAACCGAAAAACAATCTCTACTATTCTCATTGGCGAAACAAAAAAGACGTTCTCCATTATTAGTGCTTTCATCCTATCATCATCAACAAACTATTAAAAATCCGAGACGTTAAGGTCTAGTCCTATCACGAGTAATTTTTCTTTTATTTCATTGTAGATGATTTCGTTTTATGTCCGTTGATATCTTGATTGTTTTTTCTTTTGTATAATTTTTTATAGAAAGGTTGATTCTTTTTGTAGATTGATATGTTTTAGTTTCGGGTTTTGGTTAAATTAAGGCAATATCTTTGTTGATCCTGTTGATGTTATGCTCATTTAGAACCCGAGCACCCCTTTTCATGTCCTATAAATAATCTCTGAATTCTTCCTTATCATGGCAAATTACTTGCTTTTGCAACAGAATCGTGTTTTCTTTTTACTTTGTTGTCATTTTACTCAATTGATGTAGACAAGCTTTTGATTTCGTCAGGTTGAAAATTCAGCTCTCCCTCCCTCCCTCCATGTTATATAAAAAACCCGTCTCCTTGCGTTATTTGGCTTTTGTAAAGAATTTGATGTGACAAGTAGCTTGATGTATAATAATTTGTAAAGAATTTCTTCACAGAATTACTGTATGATTCTTCCAATGAATATGGAATTGAACGGACAAGAATGGTAAAATGACTTGGATTTGGAGGAGATGTTGTTATGTGTGCTAGCCTCATCTTGGAGGTGCTTTTGTATTCCTGGAGAAAAGGGGTTGTTGTTAAATAATCTTAGCATACACAATATGCAATCAATTAAGAGAGAAGTCGAAAGAATACATATCATTTATTTCCTTACAAAGTAAAGAAGAACACAGGTTGAGCAGGATATGATGTCTAACGAGAGACAATGGACCCAAAGCTTGACATAGAATGAAGCAAAATAAAGAAAGGAATTGGTCATCATGATTTGTGGTTTTAAAACATTTAAGTCAATTAGTTGGACTGGCATAACAAATACCACCAAGGAGAAGCAACGGCAAGATAGCATGAAATCAATCCTAGTAGCCTGTTCTCCCCTAGTTCTTGAAATTATAATCTCCAATTCTTGTACAAGAGCAAGTTTTCCTTGATAAGATTTCTTTCAATATTCTGTTGTTTCTGTGTTGAACGGTTCAATGGAATCACTATTCTGTTACTTTCTGTAATCAGTTAGCTAATTTGCCATTGCATAATTTAACTGCATCTACCTGCTACTCATGTGTCCAATGGTGTATGAACTGTTTTTTAAGGACATTGATCTGTATGATTTGGTTAAAGTCTAGATTTCTCTCTCAGTTAGTGGAATAGGGAGATGTTAAAAAAAAATATTTAGGACATGTAATATCAAGTGATCCCACATCATTAGGTGTTAGAGGTGAATCCCTTGGAATTTCTTTCTGTGTTGAAATATGAATGGCCTACGGCTACTCTGCTGAGGATCTTACAGTAGAAATATACAGGTCTTCATTCTTTATGAGGAACAGAAATCATACTAGGATTGAGTGTTCATGGCCCATTATGCCTTCAATAAATTCAGTATTGTTTGGAGCAAGCGTTGAGACAAGGACTAAATAACTAGATGGACAAAAATATATGGAGGACAAAATATAAGAATATATTTCACTCAAGTATTTTTGAAAATGCAAATAACATAATACTATGGCAAGTGAGAGAGAAGGAGATGGGGAGAGATTGAAGTGATGAGCTGAGGGAGAAGGGGAATGGAAAGGGGAAGTTTGTACAGAGAGTCTTGGACACGCAAATCACATGCAAATCTCTTTTCTTTGTCCTGGAGTGACAAACAAAAGAGATTTAATTGCCATTTTTCATTGCTTTCTTGGCTTTGAACTAATTATAATCTACATTACATTTGTTAGGGTGGTTTGCCAAAATGAGACCCAATGAGTAGTGTTTTTTTTTTTTTCCAGGCATTGTTTGTAAGTTTTTTTTTCCATCACATTTCAAATCACCATTGAACATGATCATGTGTTTGCATGATTATATATCATTCGGTTGATTTTAAGTTTTTAGGACCTTAGTTTAATTATTTTTTAAAACAAGTTAAGGTAGTTTTTATGGTATAATTTTGAGTTCTAAGATTGTAGTAATGTGACTTTTGGTATAATAATTTTATTATGTGCAGGATGACTTTTGAAGATAGTGCTAGAGCCAATTGGAAGGACCCCAAAATAGTAAAAAAAATTTTGGATACATGCATTGAACAAGTGAGTATTCTTGAAAAAAATAGAGGGAGCTTAAAAAAAGAATCATGGGATAATGTAGTGAAAGCATTTGAGGAAAAGAAAGGCATTAAGTTTTCTAAAAAACAACTGAAGAATGAGTGGATGTATTTGAAAAAGAAGTACATAGTATGGTCAAAACTAATAGATAAAAGTGAGCATGGTTATGATCCAATAACTAATACCGCCAATTGGACTGCACAAGAGTGGGACGATTATGAACAGGTATTATTTCTTTTATAAATTTCATTCCCTAGTTGAGCTGAAAGCAATTAATAATATTATTGATTTGATATATTTATGTAACGGAACAATAGTGATGCGAAACAGTTTCGTTATGTTGGTTAGCAATTTTCGGATGAGATGAAATCATTATTTGATGGGATTTCAGCCACTCGGAAAAGAAAGTTGGGGTCCTTCTAAAGACACAATGCCCATAAATGGAGTTGCTTCTTCTATGCCAACCGAACCAATTGGAACAAATTTTGAAGAATTTATTGATTTGGGGTCAATTCTCCAGCTCCATTTTCAACTCCAAATGATGAAATAAAAAAACCCAAAAAACGTCGAAAGAAGAATAAGGATGATGACATTGATGATCATTTGGTGGCGATGCGAAGACATTGGAAGAATCGAAGGACCCGAGTATAGAACAAGTGCAATAAGAAGTTAGATGAGATGGAGACTTTAAGAATGGATGACCCTTTATATATAACTACATGTGCTATCTTTTGTGAAAGCAAAGCATATCGAAGGCAATGGATAAACCTTTCTCAAAAGCCGGAGGAAGTCGAATTGGATGGATCAAAATGGTTGCTAAAAAGTTGACATTGTTTTAATTGAATATTTTTCCTTATGATTTGTGTTTAGTATTTTAGAATAATTTGTTTCATTGTGATTGTCTACTGTTTTCATAAGAATTATTGTTTGAATAAAAGTACTTCAATTTGAATATCTTTCCTTTAATTAGATTTCTCGTCATTTTTTTGATACATGCTTTTGCTTTTATATATATATATATATAATTAAAAGCATGTTGACGAGATAAGAAAAAAAGAGTTTAAGGATTATTTTATTGCTGTTTATACCGAAAATGATTAATAGAAGACGTGTTGAAAGAAGACCGGATACGGATTCGGCTCTTAAAGGACATGCATATACGTTAGAGATCCTTAATGGAAATCCGAGCTCATTGTCAAGAAATGTTGAGAATGAAAAAAGAAGCATTCTTAAATTTATGTGATTATTTCAAACAAAAAGGATGGTTGAGAGATAGTCATTACATTAAGGTTGAAGAAAAAACGGCAATGTTTTTGATAACTTTAAGTCAAAATTTTCGAAATCGTGTTGTGAAACGAAGATTTAATCATTCAACTCAAACGAGTGCATCACTATTTCCATGAAGTGTTGCAAGCAATGTTAAAGTTTGCAAAAGAAATGATTGTACCTACTTCATTTTATCCAAATTGAAGTCAACTTCAACATCACCATCAACTTCATCAAGTATTTCGAGGTTATACATTTAATTTTTTATTTCTAATTTTATTAGTTTGTGTATTTTAAAATTAACTAAATTTATTTATTTATTTATAGGGTGTTGTAGGTGCCCTTGATGGAACTTTAATTCGTGTCGTTATATCATCCGATCAACAAGTCCCATATAGAGGGAAAGGACGAGGAGATTGCTATCAAAATGTCCTTGCAATATGTGATTTTGATATGATTTTTACTTTTGTTTGGGTTGAATGGAAAGGTGTAGCACATGATTCAAGAGTGTTAACAAAAACTATGCGTGACTCATCAAATAATTTTCCCATCCCTCCATCCGGTAAATTGCTTCATTCTTATTAAATTCTTTTTTATAAAAAAATTCCCCTCAAGTTTTTTTTTTTTTTTTAACATTATTAGTAGGTGTATTACATCCAAATATTTTACATTTTTCATGCAATTTATCGGATTAATATTTGATGGCAGATAAATATTATCTTTGTGATGCTCGCATATACGCATACTAGAGGATTTATGACACCATATCGTAATACACGATATTGGTTATCCGATTTTCACAATGGCCATCATCCAAGATCAAAAGAAGAAGCATTTAATCATGCACATGTAAAATTGAGAAATGTTATTGAACGAGCATTTGGTGTTCTAAAAGCAAGGTTTCCAATTCTAAAGACAATGACCCCATATCCATTTATAGTTCGGAGAGATATTGTTGTTACATGCGTTGGAATACATAATTATCTTCGAAGAACAATTGTTACTCGATGACTTTTTTAAACAATTTGATGGCGATTATATGATGCATTAAACATCAAATATTACTGCAAATTTACCATTTATAGGAGGAGGGGCACAAGCACGAGTCGATCAAACATTTGTGATTAATTTCCGAGACCAAATTGCAAATGAATTAATTAGTACTTGAGATTCCATTTATTTTATGAATAATACGACAATTAATGTTATTTTAGACCGTATTTAATTTTTTATTAATAATCATTTTTATTTAATTTTTATTTATTTATTTGTACACACAAATACATTTATGTATATATTTTTATTTGTGTTAAAAAATATCATGTTACAATTACAAGGTTAAAATTGTCATAGATATAGCCTTAATATGTTCGGGAATAGTACTTATCAAACGAGCTTATTATATTCAGCACTTAATTTTCAGTAAATATCAAATAGCTTGTCGGGAATATTTTCGGTACTTAACGGATTCAGCACTTAAAATTAAGTACTTAATAGATTCGAGTATTTAATTTTCATTTTTATCAAACGGCACCTAACTTAATCCTTTTCTAGCCACCATTTTCTTAATTTCTTCTTACTCGTTTGTCTTTCCTTCTCTCCCCATGTCCCTAAACCCGCAAACGAGAATCCAAAAGAACACCAAATCCACCTAAATCGGCGAAGTGAGCAACCGGGAGCCACGAAAAGAACAACGCCATAACCACCAAACGAATCACCCAAAGCCACCGACATTCGTGCTCGACCCACAACCTCCATTGTTCGCCCTTCGCCCTTCGTCCTTGACCCACAAACACCACCGTCCGCCCTTCACCTCGACCTACTACCACCACAATTCACCCTTTGCCCTCGCCCCTCAATCACCACCGTTTGCCCTTCGGAACCTTTTTGCCGCAGTTTTTTCAAATTCTTGCCTCGATTTGCTTGAAATTATTTTTTAATTTTGATTTTTTGATTAGTCAGTTTTTTTATAGAATAAATGGATTTGTAAATTTTGTAGTAATCATGGGTTATGGTTTGATTGTTGAAAGAATAGATAATTAATGACATTTGATTATAGGTTGATTTAATCGGTTTATGCTTTAATTGGGTAAGGTCAAAGTTTTTAGTTGTTTATAATAGTGTAATTTTATTGAATTTAATTAGGTTAAAGATTGAAGTTTTTTTTCCTTAGTGGTGGTGTTGTTTTTTGATGAATTTTATTAATTATTTATTTATTGTTCCCTTGAGATAAAATTTATTATTTAAGGATGTTGAAAAAAACGTGTAAAAATCGAAGGTAAGTTAACGTTTAAGGATGTTTTGCGTAATTCTGTAATGGCTCTTCAAGTCTTGCTTGGACCGGTAATTGAATTTGTAGGTGGCGGTGGCGGCGGCTGGTTGTGGGTGGTGGTAGTGGTTTGATTTTAATTTCAATTAATTTAATTTCTTTAGGTTATTGCTGGTTGATTTATTAATTACAAGGGTAAATTAGTCATAAAATTTTTATTATCACATGCTTAATGACAATTTGTAATTAATCTGATGTTATTGTTCGGATGGAGACTAAGGAAAATGCAATGTGAAAATAGATTTAAAAATAAGGATGTTTGCTGAAATGAATTTGTAAAGCAAAAGTAGCGTGCTGTAATTTGTGAAAATTAGGAGATATACGTGTTACTACAACTATTTACTACCACCATACTACAGGGCATGTTAGGACACATACCCTTTATAAAATCTAATATTACTGTTGGGAAATTAAAATTAAAAAGAACTGAGAACGGATGTACTGCCATGGTGAGAGATAAATGCACTATAGTTACATTAATTTTTTTTAAAATCAAGTATATGAATTGTAATATTTTTTAGTACATTAATTTTTTTTTCAAAATTATTAATCAAATACCTTAGTCATTTTTTTGTTAAGTGATGACATGTCTCGTTACTTTTAGAATATCAAATTATAATTTTATCCTTTTTTTCTCAATCGAGTATATAAATTTTAAATTTTATCCTTTGAGTATACTAATTTTTTCAAAATTATCAATCAAATACTCAAGTGAATTTTTCTATGAATTGATGAAATGTTCTTTATTATTAAAATATCAAATTACAAATTTGCTTTCTTTTTGTTGGAGGAAACTTTTTTTTTCTTTTCAAATTATTCTACTATTTTAAAATTTGATAAAAAAATATTAATTTTTAGTTATAAAACTCTAAACTAAATTAACTCGGTTAGATTTTGGCAAAAAAATTAAAAAAAAAAACATAAACACGAGATTTTTTTTTTATTTATTATAAGGATTCATTACTTATGAGCATTTGGATGAAAGTTCCCTCCAACAAAAAAATAAATAAATAAATAGAAAATTATAATTTGTTATTCAAAAAATAACGAAGACGTCATCAATTAATGGAGAAAATTGATAAAAATACTTAATTGATAATTTAAAAAAAAATTAGTATACTTAAATAAAAAAAATTAAAATCCACGTATTTGATATTTAAAAAAGGGAGAAAATTGTAACTTGATCTTTTAGAGATAAAAGGTACATCATCATTCAATGAAAAAATTGATTAAAAAATACTTCATTAATTATTTAAAAAAATTAATATGTTCGAATAAAAAAATTAAAGTCTATATATTTATGAAAAAATAAAATAAAAATTGATGTAAGCAATTATACTCCAAAGCCATCATTGTCATTTGATCGCTAGCATCTATGCTTGTAGAAATTTTGGACTTCGAGTTTGTCCGAAGGTTTTAGCAGCCGCCCATGATGATTTGTTATGAACCGAACGAACGATCAAGTCATTGATGCCGGTCCTTAAGCGAGTGCCTAATTATTTGGCGCATTGTATGGAAGAACTTATAGTCTCCAATTATGTTTGAATCGATCCAAGATGGTATTGAGTTGAGAATCCTATTATATCCCATTGTATTCCTATCTATGATCTATGATTATGTGATATGACCGGAAACATTGAATCGATCCATTAATTTGCCTACAAACCTAACATTTTGGCGGCAGAATGGCAGGTCAAGTCAATCAACGGACCCGTAATCTGCACGCAAAATTTCAAGAAATCTCTGCAAGCTCAAGTTGAATTTTCAGCCCCCTTAGCTATAACGTAAACTTTGTCCTGCTATAAATGTAGTCACTCTAAAGCTTATTTCCCCATCCAATATTTTACTCTCACTCTCGTGTCCCATAAAACTTGCTCACATAATGTTGTCTCTTAACATGAGAAAAAATTTACCGACCATCATTCTGGCTATGATGCTGGCTGGAGCCATGCCACTGACGATAGTGGCTGATGTCTCTGTCGCTGATGTCGTTACACCGGAATTCTTCAATGGTATAATCAATCAAGCCGGTGGAGATTGTGCCGGAAAGAGCTTCTACACACGAGATGCGTTTCTCAATGCTATCAATTCTTACTCTCAGTTTGGCAAGATTGGATCAGATGATGATTCCAAACGTGAGATTGCAGCCTTTTTTGCTCATGTCACGCATGAGACCGGACGTAAGATCACTTAATTTCTCTATGTTCCTTGCCACAAATTCATCAAATGAAAAATAAAAATTGCACCTCATATTGAATTTATTGGCATCGTATAGTTATTAACATATATATCAATACGTTTCTGCCTTGTTTACAGACTTCTGCTACATAGAAGAAATAAATGGTGCTTCTCAGGACTATTGTGACGAAACTAAAACACAGTATCCATGCAACCCGAGCAAGAAATACTTCGGCCGTGGACCTCTTCAACTAACATGGAATTACAATTACGGGGCAGCTGGACAGAACAATAACTTCGATGGACTAAACTCTCCTGAAACTGTGGCCAATGACCCTGTTGTCTCGTTTAAGGCTGCCTTATGGTTTTGGATGACTAATGTCCGTCCTGTCGTAACTCAAGGGTTTGGAGCTACGATTAGAGCCATTAATGGTGCAATTGAATGCAATGGTGGAAATTCTGGTGCTGTTCAGGCTCGTATTGGGTATTATACAGATTATTGTAACCAGTTTGGTGTTGCACCTGGGGATAACCTAAGTTGTTAGGTTATATCAGACACATTATAGCACAAAAACTAAATAAAATGTAATCTTTCCTTTTGCCGTTTCTAATATGGCGTCTAATTAGTTGTTTTAAGGAATACTCGTTGGATATTGATGTATTTCTTGGAATGAACGTACACAAATAAATAAATGAAATATGAAGAATTACCTTATTTTGCTTATCGAGATGTTGCCTAGAAAAATATTTTCCTTATTTTAAAGAATTAAAAGACTTTCTTAATACTTAAAATTCAGTCTGTCAGGAGGCGGCAGACACAATAAATTCAAATAAGTAAAGATTAGCCAAACAATCTTGTGTTAACAAATATTATCCAAATAAAACATACATGTTAGTGTTGAATTTAACCATAAAAACTAAATCAAGGTACAAGTTTCAACATTTCATATTGTTCGCAGAAACCGTAAAGATCATCATTAAATTTAAGCAATTAAGTTTTCATTAAAATGTACATCACTAAATCAAGGTACAAGTTTCAACATTTCTTATTATGCTTATCGCTTTGATTGCATGTTTTTTTTTTAATGTATATTAAAATGATTTTTAAGGTTTTAAATGTGTTTATTAACTTTATTTTGGTTATTTTGAGGTATTTGAAGAAAAACATTATGCCGAAATTGAGTTTTTTGAAGTCTGAAACTTGACCTATGATTTTTCGATGAAAATTCCAATGAGTTATAGTTCGCTGGAAGTTGCAAATTTTTTTTTCCCCTCTTTTTTTGAAGTCTGAAACCGTAAAGATCATCATTAAATTTAAGCAATTAAGTTTTCGTCGTGTATCATATAATCGGTCAATAAACCTAGAGTTTTACATCAAATAAATTGCGAAGTTTATGTTAGGCAATAAATTATTGAAATTTATATAATTAACTATAAAAAGTTTGCTTAAAACAAATTATGAAAAGTTTGTGAAGTACTTGCGAAAAATGTTAAATTTTATGGGGGAAAAACAATTAAATAAACTAAAAACTAAATTGTAAAAAAAGAGATGAATAAAAATGAGTAAAAAAAGCATGCAAATAAAGTTGTAAAGAAAGAAAAATGACAAAAAGTTGTAAAAAATAAATTTAAAGAAAGTAAATTGTGAAAAATAAAATTTTAAAAAACTTGAAAAAGTTTAAATTAAGATTGTGTATCGAGACATATATATGTCAAAAAAATTACAACATAAAAACTTCTCTATTTATAAAGAAATAATAAATTAATGATGAATTAAAATTAAAATTTAAACTAGACTAATTAAAAATATAAATTCTGATAGAATAGTATTGTTTTCTCACAAGTAAAAGACAATAAAAAATAATATAAAGAATTGGGCCTGCAGGAAGTCCCCTTTGCAGCACCTAATTCCTCTTCTTTTGATCAAATTTACTGTCTTCATCACATTTGGTCTTTGTTCTCTCTTGATATGTTGAGCTTAGTCCTTGAACTACAAAAGTCTTGTAATTTAGCCCAATTGCTAAAGATTAATTTAAAAATATTTATTTTGAAGGTCAATAATTATATTTTTGATTTGGTTGATATAATATTCATTGCAACTTGCAAGGTTCATTTTAATTTCTTTTCTCCTCTGATAATCTTCCTTTTAGCAGCATATATGAGGTTATTTAATAAAAATTTTATTACATCATAATCTATTTATTTTATTGAAACTAATTAATTATGTTTTTGGCATAAAAAATGAATAAAA